TCATGCACAGGAGGCACAGGAGGTCTGTCTGTTGCTTGCAGGCAGTGTTTGGTCTACGGTGTAGTCATACAGCTCCTGACCCCAACGACACCTCCTGGAAGCAGCAGACTATCTGCATCTGTGCCGTGTCACGGCAGCACGCATCGCTGGGAACGCGCTGGGAGTTCCTGCTCATATGGCAGCCCAGATGGAAGCACCGTATGCGAGCGGTAGGAGCCACCCAGTAGGACTGCCAGACTTCTGGGAACCTAGAACAAATATAGAACATGCTTCACAGCTCTTGGCCGAGTGAAGGTAGGCAGCTCTGCACAAAGTCCTGGCGCCCATTCGTGCTGTGGTGCTGTCAGTTGTGCTGATCAAAAAAGAAGACATTTGGCTCCCCGTTATCGGAGAGAGACAGAAAGGCATCAACACTGGAAAGCCTCTCTTTGGAGATCTGCAGAAAGCGGTGTAGAAATGGCTGACGTTGCAAAGTTGGGCAGGGTGTGAGTGCTGCTCAGGGACTGAGGAGAGTTAAGTGCTACAGTGCCAAATTGCTGCCTGCAGCCAACCAAACTAATGGGCTGCTTTCACAGAGTCACAGAATAGCCAGGGTTGGAAGGGACCTCACGGATCATGAAGCTCTGACCTGCAGCCACACACAGGGCCACGAACCTCTGTATTTCATACTACACCAGGCTGCCCAGGGCCCCATCCAACCTGGCCTCCAACACCTCCAGGGATGGACGGGGCATCACAGCCTCTCTGGGCAGCTGTTCCAGCCCCTCTCTGCTCTCACAGCACACAACTTCCCCCTGACATCCAACCTCCAGCTGCCCTCCTTCAACTTCAAACCATTTCCCCTCATCCTGCTGCCATCTCCCCTTTCAAAAGCGTTGACTCCCCTTTCTGCAGGTCCATTCCCTTCTTGCCCCAGCAGCATGGCTGATAATTGCTTCCTTCTCACCCCATTTTATCCCATAGCTGCCGCTGCTGCACCTCCACTTGCTCCCTCCTGGCTCTGCTCCTGCCTTCTCTCTGTGTTTGCACCCAGCTTTTGTCAGCACACGTTTTGCACGCCCAGGATGGTAACAACAAAGTTCTGAACTTCTCCAACTGTTGCAGCTCGCAGCTGAGGAATGCCTCTAAGAAGGTGGTGTGCTTCAATGCAGAGCATAAAATATTCGGAGACTGGTTTGATTCAGAAAGCATTTTTTGATGTTTTTTCCTCAAGTCAGAGGTTCCAGCATGAGCAGAGTGTACTTTTCCAGCTATAAAAGTGCACAAAAATACCCAGCGTTTCATAGTTGCACATTCTGGCCTCTACTTACTGTTACCATAAAGCTAAACTCTTTCTAATCAAATCTGCCTTCCCCTTTATTTTCTTTCCACTTAATGGACTTCCCTATCAGTTTTTATGTCACCCGGGGGCTTCCCTCAAGCCAGAAGCATTTGATGGGGACTGACTCAGGGTTAGTTGGTGCTTTGCTGCTCCTCTGTCTCCCATCCCACCCCTTCCCTTCCGTTTGGGAGCTTTGCAGCGTGGTACCCCCAGCAGTGACTGTGCCAGCTCCAAGTGCTGCAGGACCTGTCCATTCCTCAGCAGAGGGAAATGCAGCTTTGTTGTGGATGCTTTCTGACACTGAAGAGCAAACGGGGCTAACTCACCCCTTGGCCCTCCCAGTGCTCATACTTGTGAGTATATGCACCCAAGGTGTTTATATTCACTATTGTGTCATCACTGCACGAGGGGAGGGGCTTCATTTTGTAAACTATTTTTTTAAACTTCAGGATAGTTGTTGTTTTGATAGGACAAGGGGGACTGGTTCTACAGTGAGACAGGGGAGGTTTGGGTTGGATATGAGGAGGAAGTTTTTCATGCAGAGGGCGGTGAGGCACTGGCACAGGTTGCCCAAGGAGGCTGTGGATGCCCCATCCCTGCAGGCTTTGGAGACCAGGCTGGATGTGGCTCTGGGCAGCCTGGGCTGCTGGTTGGTGACCTGCACACAGCAGGGGTTGGAACTGATGCTCACTGTGGTCCTTTGCAACCCAGGCCATCCTATGGTTCTATGATTTGCACTTCCCATGGAAAATGCCTATTGCAGGTTGAAGCCTTCTGAAGTCCTGGCCATGGGTTAACCTGCTGCAGGTGGGAGCGGGTAACCTGGAGCTCTGGGCTGAGCCAGGGGCTGTAAGGGGCAGCCCAGTGAGGCCCTGCAGCACTGCTGCGGATGGGTATGGGATTGATAGAGGAAACTGCCCTGATCCTTAGGTAACACAATCAAACAAGTTGCCCAGAGAGGTGGTGCTGCCCATCCCCGCAGACACCCACGCTCAGGGGATGGGGCTCTGAGCACTGGTGGAGCTTTGGATGTCCCTCCTCACTGCAGGGAGTGGGACCAGATGGCCTTTAGAGGGCCCTTCCAACCCAAACCACTCCGTGATTGTATGATAAACAGATTTCCCATCTCTGTGCCCTCAGAAAAGCCTCATGACCCGGAGCTGTGCCCAGCAGTGTCCCACGTTGTCTGTTGGAGGCGATCGTTTCAGTGCTAGGATCCATCGTGCTGCAAAGCCCCAGCTGAGGGAACACTGCAATAAGGGAAATCCTTTCATCTTCCTTGTATTTCCCAGTTGAGTTGTGAAATGCAAACAGCTCTTCTCCCTTCTCAGGGATTGATGTGAGCTGATATTCGTAGCAGACGCCTCCTTCAGCGCGTTGCTTCTCGCCGCTCCTGAAGCCATGGCGTTTCCAAAGCTGTCACCTGCATGGGATGGGTTACTGTTTGAACAACTTTGAAGCTGAAATGCTTCTTTCAAACTCTCCTTTCCGACCTTTTGCCAGTCTGGGTGCTCAGCTATCGGATCTCCCCACGTTTGTGTGATTTGTCCTTCTTTACAAAAGCTTTTGTTGCCTCTTTACAGAATGGGACCTTTGGGACAGCAAGCCTTGTGCACGTGTGTGTAGAGAGAGGGGGATGCAGTTGGACACAGGCTGGGGGGAAAGCAGGTTTGGACTCACTTCTCTGTTACTGTGGGCTCGTTCTGAGGTTGCACACAGAAAGTCTCCTTCTTCCTGGCCATCTCTGATCTTGTACAGTTCTGGCTGAGGAGTTGGAGCGTGAATTCCAGGCCTCAGGAAATAAATAAATCACATAAACATTGTTGAGCTGAGGATAGTAAGACTATTTCTGCTGATAAAGGATCATAGTAGAGAGGTGTGCGTGCTGTACTGAGTCACCGAGTTAAAAATATCCCTTTGTCACAAGTTAGTGGTAAAATGCAAGCGAACCTCGTGTTTCCAAAAGCTGTTCCTGTAGGAGGGCTGAGCAGCTGGAGCTGCACCCGGCTCCGTCGGTGTCTGGGGGGTTTGGCATCCCATAGAACCATAGAATGGCCTGGGTTGCAAAGGAGCACAGCGCTCACCTGGTTCCAAGCCCCTGCTGTGTGCAGGTCGCCAACCAGCAGCCCAGGCTGCCCAGAGCCACATCCAGCCTGGCCTCCAATGCCTGCAGGGATGGGGCATCCACAGCCTCCTTGGGCAACCTGTGCCAGTGCCTCACCGCCCTCTGCATGAAAAACTTCCTCCTTATATCCAACCCAAACCTCCCCTGTCTCACTTTAAAACCATTCCCCTTGTCCCATCACCATCCACCCTCACACACAGCCGTTCCCCTCCTGTTTATCCGCTCCCTTCAAGCACTGAAGGCCACCATCAGGTCTCCCTGGATCCTTCTCTTCTCCAAGCCAATCAATCCCAGTTCCCTCAACCTTTCCTCATAGGAGAGCTGCTCCAGCCCTCTGCTCATCTCAGTGCCTCTGGACCCGCTCCCAGAGCTCCACGTCCTTCCTGTGCTGGCTTCCCCAGGCCTGGATGCAGCAGTGCTGCAGATGGGGCCTCACAAGAGCCGAGCAGAGGGGGACGATCACCTCCCTGTCCCTGCTGGCCGCCCCGTTTTCATGCAGCCCGGATCACAGCTGTCCTTCCGGGCTGCGAGCGCACACTGCTGGCTCGTGTGCAGCTTCTGGTCCACCAGGACCCCAAGTCCTTCTCCACTGGGCTGCTCTCGAGATCTTCGCCCACTCTGCATCAATAGCTGGCATTGCCCCGACCCGCTGCAGCACCCTGCGCTTGGCCTTATTGAGCATCATTAGGTTCGCATGGCCCCACTTCTGCAGCCTGTCCAGGTGCCTCTGCATGGCTTCCATTCCCTGCAATGTATCGAGCATTTCCTGATGGGGTGGATGGTCTCAAACATCCACCTGAAGCTCACACAGGGGTGTGGGGATGGCCCTGGCAGGGGCACAGTCCGTACAACGCAGGACCCAAGCAGCCCAGAGTGGTTCTTTGAGCTTAATGTTCCGAGGAGCAGCAATGGATTTTCGTGTTCTCCTTCCCGTTTCAGTTTGGTTCTTTCATGTTTTCGGAACCAGGTCCAAAAAATATTCTGTTGGAAAATTGTTCTGACTTTCGTTGTTGGAATTGGTTGGAATTGGTTGGAATTGGAATGTGGTTGGAATTGGGAACAACCTGTGCTGCAAAGGGCGGCCAGCACTGCACAGCTGCCCAGGGCAGCGGGGAGCCCCCATCCCTGGGGGTGTTCAGTGACCACAGGGATGTGGCACCGGGGGACGTGGGCAGTGGGATGGGCTGGGGTTGGATTGGGGATCTCGGAGCTCTTTTGTGGCTGAATGATTCTGCGATCTTATCAGTGCCTACAAGTCATTCCTGGCTGGTGTCAGGCATACAACCACCGAGCTGTGAGGAGATGGGAACGGTGATCTGCGAGCTCTTCGCCACCCTTTTGGTGCACAACCATCCACAGATGCTCTCCCTGCAATGCTGGGAGTTTTTTCACCTTGGGGTTACTGACTGGGCGAGCTGAGGCAGAACAATTGTTGGCTTTGCATCCCCCACGGAAAGCAGCTGTTGTCAGTCCATATGGTGCAGTCTGTGCAAGCGAGCACGGGATCAGTGCTGTTCGGAGCCGCTCAACTCTCTTCCCTCCCTCTCATTTCAGGTGGCCATAATTGCAGGAAATTTTGAGTTGGCTGAAATCATCAAAACCCACAAAGAGTCCGATGTTGGTGAGTTGGATCTTTTTTTGTTTTCCTATCCTCTTTTTTAATCTTCCTGTGGAGTTCAGGGCTGTTGTCAGGCGGCTTTGTGACCTGGTGCTTTCGTGGTGCTGCTCGCGGTGGCTGGCACAGCCTGCAGCCTGCTCTGGGTCTCTGGAGCAGCAGGATGGATCCTCTTTCCTTCTGGGACCATCGGTGTTCAGCTCATTTGTCCAGCACAGTGTTTGCTTATGGCTGCTGAGATTGCCAAAGTTAAGAGTGAGCCAAATTGTCTGGAGTGGGTCTGAAAAGCGCACTGTGAAATCCTTTGCCTTTTGTCTCTGTGCATTTTTGGGGCCGTTTCATACTGGAGCTTTTCTCCTGCAAAAGCTGTTAGCCAGAGCTGGGGCAGGGAGACGTGTCTTCTTGCAGCAGGGCTGATGGTTATGGAGCTGCCCCCACCACAGAGCTTCTATAAGCGATTGCTTCTTTCAGTTTGGTATTTCCTGCACCACCTTTTCTTTCCCAGCATCTCTTCTCTCCATTTGTGGTGTAAACATTATCCTGTAATCATGCAGAGCCGACCTTTAGGTCAGATGTAACAGCAGCTGGGAGCAAAGAAAGAGGGGTGTTTGAAGGGATGTCATTCGTCTTCCCAAGCAGCTGCTGTGCATGGAGAGCGCAGCGCTCAGGCAGTGGCTGGACACGTGCTGCCGATGCACAGCATTGAGTGAATTCCCTATTTTTGCTTTGCTTGGGCACTTTGCAGCTTTTGCTTTACACTCTTGAATAGTTTTTATCTCATTCTGTCCATTTTCTCACTTCTTACCTTTCTGATTCTCTCCCCAGTCCTGCCTGGGGGGGGGGGTGGGTGAGCAGCTGCGTGGTGCTGAGCTGCCTTCCAGGGTTAACCCACAACAGGCTACAGGTGGAGCACGACTTGTGGAGACTGGAACAGTCTCCAGCTGTTAGGCTTGGCTCTTGGAAGCATCCCTGAGTCTGGGATCCTGCACCCCAGCTCGTCCTTTTATCACTTATTTTCTCAGGCTCCCACTAACAGCTGAATCATAGAGCCATAGAATGGCCTGGGTGGAAAAGGATCACAGTGCTCATCAGTTCCAAGCCCCTACTGTGTGCAGGTCACCAACCAGCAGCCAAGGCTGCCCAGAGCCACATCCAGCCTGGCCTCGACTGCCTGCAGGGATGGGGCATCCACAGCCTCCTTGGGCAACTTGTTCCAGTGCCCTCTGAGTGAGCTGCTGAGGACCTTTGAAAAGAGTCAGAAAGGATTTGGGGAAAAGGCTGAATCTTATCAGGAAGTGTTAGAAACAGTGCTAACGAGAAGGCTGTCCTATTAATCCGAGGGGAGGGAGACTGCAGTGGAAGGGGTATGGGAGTAGATGACCTCCAAAGGTCTCTCCAGCCTCAATTGATTGGATTGATGTCTAACAGGGTGGCACAATTTTATTGAAGAAGTTTAAGGAAAATGGCATGAAACCGTGTCAAGTAAGAATGAATTGTTTGTGCTTTCGATGGGTCTGTTTGAACAAAATAGGTCAGATAACAGTTGCGAGCTGATGGCACACAAACCAGCAGGGCCAGATGGCATCCACCTGGGGTCAGTGGAACTGGCAGATGAACATCCAGGCAAGGAGAAATTGCCTTCTGAAGTTCATTAAGAACTGAGAAGCGCGAATGTCCGGCTGGAGGAGAACAAGGTTATTTGGGAGCACGATGTGGGGTGGGGAAGGGGTCAGCGTGAGGTGTGGGGGCTCTGGAGCACCTCCTGCAGGGCTGTTTGTTTGCCCCATTGGCATTCAAGTCTTCAATCTGCTTCAGTCAGCTCCTGTCAGCCATGTGCATGACTCTGTGTAATCAGACGTGCTCCTCATTACCTGTTCTTCACAACAATTTGCGGTGGCATTAATTGCACGTCGTTTTGCATCAGCTGGATCTCGTGTCAGCTGCTCAGCAATTTTCACCATCCCTCTTTCTGGGAAGTTCTCTTAGTCTGCAAGTTTTCAAGTGTTTTTTTCAGCTAATGAGTGGCTTTGTCATCGTGATGTGATGCAAATGCCTCTCCCTGCTGCTTTTGGAGTAGAGTTCTGCATCTACAAAACAACCCAAAGGCCATTAGAACTTTCTTTCCTTCCGTACGCCACTTGGTTTTTGTTGGTGTTTTGTCTCCATTTTGAATGCATTGTAACTCCGTATTGATTTCAATTATTTTCCCCAATTAGAGGATAAATATATCCTACAATACCAATTGATGTCTTCAGTTTGCTGCTTTTGTCCAACTAAGCACTTAACCGTCGCTGCTTTATTTCACAACTGTGGTTCTGTGACTGCTGTTCCTTTTTTTAACTCGTGGTTTTATTCATATTTACTCTTCCTACACGGAAGGAGATCCAGGGGAAACAGTACAGCATTAGTTCAGTGCTGAGAAATTGGTCTTAAGCATGTAAGAGTGGTTGGGACCATCTTCCCTCTTTTAATGCCAAATAGAATCGGGTCATGATTCACGGTCACTAAGCAACCAACTTCAAGTCAAAGGAATTCGTTCATCATCAGTCATAATGAGACCCAAAGCAGTTGCCCTGTATTACAAAAAATACCTTTTTTGTTGGGGAATTCCAATCTGCATGAGATCAGCATCACGGCAGCGGTTTTCCTTAGGGGTGGTGGTAGGGGTGGGGAAGTTCCTCACCCCCTCTGGTCCGGTTCGGCAGCTCTGCTGACCCACAGCAGTCCGTTCTTTTGGGATGCATCCACCTCTTGGCTCACAGCTGCTGGAAATCCTGCAGCCCTGGCTCCCTGGTGGCTCCGTATGGGAGTATTGGTGGCACAGAGCCTTCCTCTCTCCTTTTACCTTGGAACAGATGTTTTTTTCAAGGTGTTTAGGAAGGTGAAGACCTAAATTGGGCCTAGCAAGGGTCAGGAAGTGACAGGGACACGTAGCTCCTCACTGTGTCCTTCCCACGTGGAGATGATGAGCGGTGCATATCCCAGTGCATGCGTGTGTGAACGGACAGAAGGGCATTAATTTAGACCACGACACTTTTGGAAGATTCCATGAGTCTTCAAGCACTGAATTGTCCATAAAAACACCCAGCTTTGGGTGCCTCCACCAACTCAGGCCCACCCATGGGCTGGGGCACCTCCAGGGATGGGGCACCCACAGCTCTGGGCATGACTACCACCAGGCTCTGAGGACATGCAGAATGGCATACAGCAACTGATAAAAACATATGAGACAAGCAGAAGTAGAGGCTGTGACATACATTTCTTCCTTTCCAACTTCTTCCCCTGATTCCTTCTCAAAGGAATCTTTGGTAGATGTTGAAAAGCTTTGCACCGAAGCCATAAATAAGTACTCGCACGATCAAAAGCTTCATTTCTTTTTGCCTGATTGTGTCAGGTTTCCCAGAATGTGTAACAAATGTGGAAGTTTTTGCTGAGCTTAATCTACCACCCCTGCTTTTATTTTTTGCCAGTGACCTCTGTGTGTGTATGTGTGTAGGTCATTGCTAAAGATAAAAAGCATGTATATGACTGTACCAAGAACCAGCTTGCTGAATGATATTGGAAATAGTTCCCACTCCATTCTATTGCCTTCTGTTTGGTCAGACTCTGGAACCAGGGAGGTGGGGGAGTCGCCTTGTTAAGTGTTCCATAAATGTGTAGATGTTGCACTGAGGGACATGGTTTAGTGGGGGAATAGTGGTGGTAGATGGACAGCTGGACTGGATGATCTTAGAGGTCTTTTCCAACCTTGGTGATTTTGTGATCTATATACGGGTAATTGGAGCATAGTAAGTTTCTATGTGACTTGCTTCCTTGTGCCATCTACAAAGACCTCTTTCCTCACTGTTGTCAGTCAGAATACTGAGCGACCTGAAGCCTTGGTCTCACCAGCCCTTCAGTTCCTAAGGAAAGAGCTCTCTGTTAGAATAAATAGAATGTGGTTGACTGGTGGGGCAGCTCCTGGGTCCTGCTGGAAGGTGGTTATCTTCAGGTGAACCAGGTGATGCTCAAAGCTGCCTTCCAACCCAACCTAACCCAACCCAACCCAACCTAACCCAACCCAACCC